GTATTTTAATAATATCTGTAGGAAAAAACTCTATATTATCTCGCAGCTCTTCTTATGTAAATTTTTTTTAACAGAAGTTTACTCCCAGTTATCTAAGTATGCAGCAGAAAAAGATAACTACGATGTATGAAGAAAAGTCTGACGAGATGGAAGTGTACATTTCTACTTAGCTGTTATCTGAGTGCCGAGAGCATCATACGATAGGGAACTTTTTTTCAGCACTAAAGCAATTGCGTGTTGAACCAGGCTGACTCTCGCAATTATAAACTTAGGTATAGTTCTTCCGTATCGTCCATTCCGCTCTACTTTCGTCAAGTTTACTTTATCTCGCAGAAGAGTTTCCTCGAATGAACGCGTGTAACGCGTTATGTACTCGCTAGACTTAACAAATGCGGATGAAAATTCACGTGACTGCTCTAGCAAAGTGAGAGGGGTTGTACCCACGCCGTGTAAAATGCCAGACACACAAGAACGTACTTTTCCGATTGCACTCCATTGCAGCCGACCGCGGCGATGTCGAACTTGTAATTACGGCGTTTTTCGCAATTCAGGACTCGGAACGCCCGCAGCTCGGCCATTCCCTTCTCCTTCAGGACAATTTCGAACGGCGCCTCGCCGTGGTGTTTGTTCGCGATGCGGAAGGAGCAAACTTTCGTTCCCAGGGCGCGGATCTGCGGCGTGACCTCGACCAAAGTTTCATTCTCCTTGACCAGGCCGTGATATCCGCTCTCGAGACTCTCCAGGTCCAGTCGTGGAGCTGCGAAAACATATGTATACGACTGATCAGTGACCGTCAACATTACCTCGTTTGGCATAGAGGCGAAAAGGGACCGCCTTCCCTCCTAGTTTCCTATTTCCCTATTTCTAACGGAGTCGCCGAGTTACAGAGTAACCGAAGCTACTCGCGTTACTCGTCGGGAAGCTTTCGGTTCGTTTTTCACACCATTCTTTTTTTCTGAGAAGATAGATAGTCCGATTTCGCTAACTTTATCTCTCGAGACGGACGGCATTCGGAATGAATTTACGGTCCCTCGTTAAACACGGGAGTTTGAGAAATCAGCATTGAGGTCAGCACGCGCACGAATTTACATAACAGTGTAAGCGTATCATCAATAAAATGCTTGGCACAGACATTGTTATATCGTTCTATGATGATCCTGTCGAAAGATTTATTGATAGACTTTGCCGTAACACTCTGTGTTTACGTCGTTATGTAAATTCGTGCTCTTCAATGATGGAGATTCTGAATTCACTGCCGTTTTTAACGAAGTGTTAAAAATTAATGGACGAGTTTGACGTCAGATGGAAAAATTTCGTTAACGTGTGTTTGAGAAACATCGGTAAAATCTACCTTTTCCTTCTTCTCCTCCTCCTCCTCCTTCTCCTCCTCCTCCACCACCATCACTTCCTCCTCCTCTTTTTGTTTCCCTTCCAACATATATAACAAGCGAACTTTTTAATTAAGCACTGAACAATATTCGGTGCAGGTTACGCGCGTTTTATCGCCGAGAGAAAGAGAAGAATTCGAAATTTAGTAGAAATGGGTTAAGTGAAACAAAAGAGGCAGCAGCTCGTTAATTCGTTGTCAACTTCTTCAACGTACGGATAATGAGAAAAGCGTTAAACAACTGTGTAGCGTAACACAGAAGAGAAGCGTTCGTTTATGTCCGCAACGGTGGCTCATAATTATGCTGTTAATTGCTAACACTGGTATTTTGAGCCGGTAGTCAACAACTAATATCCTCACGTAAGCTTCTCGACATCTAGTGTGACCCAGAATCACCAGATTACATTTGATGGACAGATTCTGCGACCAGTTTAGAGTGGATTTTTCCATGACAGAAATTTGAAAGAATATTAGACGTGACGGTTTTTCAAGTTTAGATGAGTTAAAATAAAGCGAAAGATTTTAAGAAACGATCAATAATACTTTGCCTATAAATTCAGACGTTTATTTATTACTCGATCTAAAGCTATTCTTTAAGAAGAGTTTAAAAAGTTTACAAAACCTTATTAATTTTTAATGTTGAAACGAAACATTTTATTATCCTCTTTTATCGACAAAATCAATTACAAATTTATCAAGGAGTTTAATTATAAAATATCATACAGGTTAAAGCACCTCGTTAAAAATATTTCAAAAACACTATTACGACAATTATAACGAAAATTTCAGTGTGAAAATTTAATTTAATGAAATCCGCTGTATTAAACTGACGATTCATTTAACATCAGATTTCCATATTTTCGAGATTATATAATTTTACATTTTACAAGCTAAATAATTATTTATAAGCAGTATCTTTCGCTCTCGGAATGGAAGTCAATTATGAAACGTATGCATAATATGCTTTCGATTATCTCGCAATTATCGTTAAACGGTGTCGAACGCGTCAAAGCAGACAATTTCTTTTATAAAAACACGACTATAAAATAAAATCAAGTATATACCGCGGGATAATACAATTACATTACATTTTGCTAATGATACATGTGTCACAAGTTTAGTAGTACAGCAAATATGTATGCCAAGCATGACGTGGAATATCTACACAAGCAAGAAGCTCATGTTATACACAGTTGTTGTACACAGAAGGAACGATTATGCTAAAGTATCTAAAAATTTAAGCAAACATAGATCTGAAAATAATTTTAATAAACTATTCGAAATAATTATTTAAAGAATATAATTATTTAAAGAAACTCAACGCTCCAAAAAGTTTTGATATTCTAACAATCAGCTTAAATATTTCACGTAATTATTTAATTAATTCAATAAAATTATTTTCAGATCTCTGTATGTGGTTACATTTTTAAATACTTCAGCAAAATCACCCTTTTATGGGTAAGCAAATGTGCGATTGCACAAACTAAAATTGTTTACAATAAAAATCCTTACAGAAACTATAAGACATTTATTTCGTTTAAATTACCTATTTATTGCACTAATAGATGTTATTGTAACAAATGAAAATTGAACAGGTAACTTGTGTTGTGATAATGCTTAATTAACATCGTGTCTCCAGCGGCAATGCCTAAAGCTCGATCACATCTCGTTAAAATATTCGGCGCAATCGGCGGGACATCTAATTTCAGCGACCAATAATTACCGGCTCGCGATCGTTAATTAACTATCCGTATGCAAAATATACTTTGACGTGTGCGACGTATTATCGTGTCGGTGCATCGAGAACGATGATGATAGAACGCATTCAATTATCGCGACATGCAAATCCCGCGATGTGGGCCACGATATCAGTGGTCGCGGAGAAAGCTTCACATATTGTGAATCGCAGCATCATGTCGGATATCGTCCCCGTATGGCAGAAGCGGCGGCCCTTCTAATCTTAGCGGGGTGGGTGATTAGAGATAATTAACGATCCACCGCCACGCGCGGGATGCATCCAAATATTTTTAACGCCCGTAACACGATCCTTCTCTCCCTTTTATCTCAGGCGAGAAACGCGACGAGAATATTAAAGTCACATCACTTTACTCTCGTCAGTCTTTGCTCGAAATCAGTCTAATTTTATCCCAGGCTTCTCTCTTTCTCGAATGTGATTCACACCTAATTTGTTATTCCGACAAGCATGACTAATACCGTCATTCGGTGAACGATCGTAATCGAGTCCCGGGTGATATTGCCTGAGGGGTGCGAGTCTCATTCGTGCGAAAAGTGCATTTAATTAAGTGGATGAAGTTGCGTAAGGTTTCCGAAATATCGGCGCGGCACGATATTTAGTGCGCCAAGTATATTGAGAAAAAGATACTTCAAAATTTATTTATGGGATATAATATTTATTTCACAGAAATAAATATCCTTATTTAAATACGATTAAAATAAATTTTTCTTTTTAACAACCACATTTATTTTATATGTTTTATAAAAGTGTATATTTTGAAATCATCACAGTTAAATTTTTTTGTAACCAATAAATATCGAAGAAAATATCATAAATAACATTTGTTGATATTTACTAAATATAAAAATATATACAAACCATTAATTTAATTAGATTATTTTTACGAGTATTATATTTAACTATATTTTTTTTTATTAAATAAATATCAATTAAATGAATGTTTAGTTATGTTATTCAAATAAATATCTATTAAAATTTAGTACATTTTCTTCTCAGTGAACGGCAATTAAATAAAGTGAAACCATTACATAAATGAGATAAAATGAGTTATTAACAATTTTACACGAGAAACGTAAAGTGTTGCTAAAAAAACATTTAGAGTACAACTTGTTATCATATGTATTATAATAAAAAGACGGATCAAAATTGTTATTCTTCGTCTTGGTAATGTCTATTTCTACCAATGTAGACGAATTTTAATCTCACTTTAACTTATACTCTTTATCTTTTTCTAATTCCTAGGATTCAAAAAAGATAAAAAGTAAGTTAAGCCAAGATTAAAGTTAGTCTATATTGAAATGAACATGAGTGTCATTACACTGAAAACAATTCTGATTAAATTAACTCTATAAGAATCATATTTTAATGAGACGGAACAGAATATTGGTCACTAATAACCAAAAATTCTTATCGGTTCGTTCTTATCAAAATGCCATTAAGTTAGGTTCTTTTGTTAATTTTATCTAGGATCACTGTATTCTTTTAAGAGTACATGTACATTTTTTTGAGGTCGTAAAACTTCTGATTATCAACAATTTAAAATTGTATCTTTATAAAATTACATTAATAAGAATTGTCAATAAAAATTATGTTCTAAAAATATTATTTTATTAAATACCTATAT